GGGGCCCCCGGGGGGGGCGCGAGCAAGTTTCAGGGGGTTTGCCAAAAAGGGCCAGTGGTAGACTCACTGGGGCCCAGGGCAGAAAGCCGATGCCCCGCAGCATGGGTCTGAAGCCCAGGGCCCTGAACCTCGTCACTCGGGGTGGAAGCCAAAGCCTGAGCAATATAGCTTTGTGGGGGCGCCCTGTGGTGTGGGGCCCCAAGCAACTGCCCTGTTTGCTACCCCCTAATGCTGGCCCTGGCTTTTATATGCAGAAAAACAGTTGTTGTGGCACAGGTGGGCCATGGAGTTTTTATAGCATGTTGAGTGGGCCGCCGAAAGAAAAAGGTTGAGAACCCCTGGTATAAGCAGCGTATAACGCAGGGTCTGGCAGAGTTGTTGACTCAGTTTGCTCACTAGGACTGCTTTTTGAAGCTAATTTTGAAGCTTTTCACCAGCAAACTGTCTCACAATCTGCTTTTCAGAATATGGATAACAAAATTGATAAATTTAATTACAGGGGATAAATATTTAGCCATCATTTGATACCTGGAAGTATAAAGCAAAGACTTGGACCAAAAAGTGACAGAGATGTAGGAGGAGGAAACAGAAGTTAAAGCAGAAGAGAAGCAAGAGATGGCTTGCAGATGCAAAGGTCTTGCTAGAACTGGGGTTCTAGGGTCTTGTGATGAGGCTTCCCCTTTCAAGGTTTTGAGAGAAACATGTGTATTTCCATTGTGATGTAAAACTTTCCTAGTAAGAACCATTTTCTATCTGAGTACTGTCTTGTGTGTAAATATATTTCTTTCCCTCCACCCTCAGATTTGCCTGTGCTATCTGGAATCCTTAGAGTGATTTTTATTTCCTATTTTGGTTGTCAGGTGAAGAAACTTGTCCCCCCTACTTCTGCCTAGAAGATATATCAGCATGCTTTTCCTTATACTTGCTCTTGAAGGAGATGTACTGTAGCAATTTAAAATACCTGATTTGACATGTAAATGAAGCAAAATGTTATATGGCTAGTGGCATCTTAAAGACTAGAGTTTTTTTCTGACAAGGAGGTAAAACTAAAACTGTCTTAAATTTCTTCTGCATGGCAGCAGTAAGTGGGGGAAAAACAAGGTTTCTGTAGGGATGTTGCCAAAGGACGTTTCCCACAGTTTTACTTTAAGACATATTTTCTTTGATCAAGTCCGTTCAGACTCCCCCCCCCCCCCCCACATGCAGCGGCCTACTAGGTACTTTGTTTCTGTTGTCTGTGGTGCTTAACAGTGACAGGGAGCAAACTACAGTAATTTGATTTCTCTAATAAAAATTCTATAAAAACAATTCTAGGAGATTGCTAACACATCATGCAGAGTGCTTATCTAGCTAGAAAGGGTCACTGTACATCTGGGTAGGGCAAAAGGAGATGGCATTGGCTGTTCAAGTATAAGCACTGAAGGACAGGCAATAGACAAGTGTGAGGTCATTGTGGCCCCCAGGAAGTAATGCCAAAATGTTCTCTCTCACTTGTCTGTCTTTACTATTCCTCTTTCATTGACACACAGCCAAGCACTCTGCTCAAGGCAGACTGGAGTCTTATTTGGCTTGCCCATCTCTACTATTGTGGTCACAACAGCAGGGCTTTTTTTTTAAACGCGCTGTGGGAAATGTCAGTGCCACAGATACATTCATCACTTTAAAATATTCTGTTTATTAATGTAAAAAAATTAAAACAAGATTCGGTACTTGGGCTGAATTGCTACTTCAGTATTTCTTAATTTGTCAGAGGGAAAACACACTATTAACGTCTGTCACAAGTTATCCAGGGAAAGAGAGTTAACACTCCCTACTTAATTCCTTCATATTTTAAAACACAAACCACCATTGTAAGTAGTTAGGGTTGCTACACACATAACCTACCTGGCTCAAACCCACAAAAGCGAGGAAATGAAAAGTTAGGTTTCTTAACAGAACTTACCCTCTATACTTTCTCTCTTCTCCCTCCCCCCGGAATCATCCTACTGTTCTCACAATTTACTGTACACTGCAACTTTAACTCTGCCCCCAATTCTCCACACCACACACCTCATTGCAAAATTAACCGCCGCTAACACTGTTAGTAGTGGATGTTTGGTCTAGCTATGTGTTGTGTTGGTGGTCAACCTGTGGAACTCCTTGCCAGAGGATGTTGTGAAGGCCAAGACTATAATAGGGTTCAAAAAAGAACTAGATAAATTTATGGAGGATAGGTCCATCAGTGGTTATTAGCCAGGATGGGCAGGAATGGTGTCCCTAGCCTCTGTTTGCCAGAAGCTGGGAATGGACGACAGGGGATGGATCACTTGATGATTACCTGTTCTGTTCATTCCCTCTGGGGCACCTGGCATTGGCCACAGGGCTAGATGGACCTTTGGTCTGACCCAGTAGGGCCATTCTTATGTTCTTATGGGTAATAGAATGCTGGCATAAGGTTGTAGGTATATACTGTTAGGTGGTTTAATTTTAGCGACAGAACCTGACGTGTCTGGCAGTGGTTGTGTTTTAGCACCTTCACCTTGAAAAAACTGCCATATTGCTCTGTTTCCTTGCAGCAAGAGAACTGTCTTCCTAGAATATTGTGAAACATTGGGAACCAGATATCTAAACTGGACTTTGAGCCTTGCTACAACTTGGAATGGTTAATTTAACTCCTGGAGGTTTTCCTTTACCTCCACCCTCCTCTTTGAGATACAGTAGTGGCTTCCCTCTTCTCTACCCCCAAGTAACAACAGTATAGGGGAGAAAGTGAAGTGGTATCAGTTCATGACCATGAACTGAATCCTTACATTGAAAGACAGCTGCATGGTTTGCTCCCAGGGATTTTTCTCCAGCAGCCCAGAGGGTCCAATCACTTAGAAGACAATCCACAAATCCTGGTTCCCTCTCCTCTGCTGTCGGCCAACTCTCAGGCAAAGACCATGTAGAACTGCCTGAGTGGCAAGTAGCTGCAGCAGTGGTTCTTATGGTATCCCCAGGAGCAGATGCAGTACTACTTTACCATCAAGGTTTTTAAAAAAAATCAGCGTAGAAGTTGAACTAGCTATGACTGGGGTTCTCAAGCTGGGGGTCATGACCCTTCAGGGGGTCATGTGGTTATTACTTGGGGGGTTGTGATCTGTCAGCCTCCACCCCCAAACCTGCTTCACCTCCAGCATTTATAATATTAAATATAAAAAATGTGTTTTTAATTTACGGGGGGCGGGGTCATCACACTCAGAGACTTGCTGTGTGAGAAGAGGTCACCAATACAAAAGTTTGACAACCGCTGAGCTATGAGCTGTCTATATGTCCCCATGTTTTTCCTGAAACATTCTTAAATGTCTTCCATCATGCACCTCCTCTTACTTTCAGCAGATCCTTCCCTTCCTTCAGTCACTGGGCTGCCCCTTATCCTCCCACAGTTCCAGGCAGGCAGAATGAGGCAGAACACCTCCAGTCATTTGTAGAAGCCCAAAACACCCCATCTTACTAGGTATAAAAAGGGGGTATTTGATCAATGGGCTTGGAAGTATCTACTCTGTCATTTTGCTCAAATTAAGTCCATAGGGAAAAAATGGAACAGTTCAGATATTTGCAGAGCCCTCAGTCTCAGAACAGAGTCCATTGGGAAGTTGGCTTTCCTCTTCCCTTTCACTTCTGAGTGGTAGATTGTGAAGAAAGGTTCTGAATTGACTGTACCTAGATGGATGAAACTGTACATAGCAAGGGAGTATTTGGAGTATTTTTTGGTAGTGAATATAATTTGTTAATACTACACTACACATATGCTGAATTACATAATCACTCTAAACAGGACATTATTTTTCTAGAAAACAGACTATATTTTGGCACACCTATTTTATATTAATTTAGCGCTGAAGTTCTTTTAATGACTCGTTAAGCATTTATTTGAAAAGGGAGAAAACAGCAGAGACTTATAACTAAAGAGGCAGATGACAATATTGGATTCTATCAAAAATCTTAGTGATAATTTTGGTTCCACTAATTTTGATGACTCATTTTAAAATTAATGTTTTAATAGCTTTTTATTTGAAAATTCTCTTCTCCTCTGACATAGAAATCTTGGTTTCAAATATATAATTCCAGTAATTGATGTAAATAATAAGTAACTAAGCATCTGCAGATGTGTTTCTGCTATCTCTTTATGTAGACTTCAAAAGTAGCTGTCTCTATGGATTCTTTGCAGGAAGAGGTGGCAAATCTATTTGTTGGCGTGAGGAAGTGGAAACAATGATTAAGATAGTTGGACTAACAAGTGTTACTGGAGCTAATGGTTTTACTTGCAGTGCAGTACAACATACATACATTTTCAATACACAACCATACAAATCAAGGAAATGGCAGGTAACCTCGAAATCATTTTCCAGTGTCCTTGTTTATATCTGTTGTCAACTATCACGTGCAGTTTTATCAAAACACATTTGGTAAATCATAAATAAAATAGTGAAAACAATTTAAACTCCAGAGCCTACCGTATAAACATAAAAGGATTCCCTTTAGGGGACTTGGAATCCTTTGAATTATGCATGTATTGTAGGTTTCAGTAAGATAAAAGGGTTCTGGAAAAAAAAAAAAAAAAAAAGAGGCAACTTGCTCCGCCCCCAAGGAATAATACGCATAATGGGGTGAAGAGAAAGTAAACAGCTGAAGCAAAAAATACCCCATGATTACTCATGAAACCTTATAAAAGTGAAATAAAGCAAATCAAATAAGGTGGAATTAAACAATGCTAACACATTTAAAACTTCCATTGGTTCTAAAACCACCGACAGAGATGAATCCCAGAGAACTCTGTGCCAATCTAATAGATTGAAAAATTGACATCTTCAGGGAAACCAATATGAGAGAATTTAAAGAAGAGAAAAGCTAAGGAAATGGAAGGCCATGAAGTGATTTTTGGTTTTGTAATTCCAAAGTACTTCGTTTGTGAACAAGGCAGTTATCACCTGAAAGCCTTTTTTTATATCTTGTTATAATCATAACTTCTTGTTTTACAGCTACAGGACCGCACGCAGTTTAGTGACCGAGATTTAGCCACTCTCAAGAAATACTGGGACAATGGCATGACCAGCCTGGGCTCAGTCTGCAGAGAAAAAATTGAAGCTGTTGCTGCAGAATTAAATGTTGACTGTGAAATAGTGCGGGTAAGAAATGTACAGTCTCTCCGTTATCTTGTTTCAGAAGCAAAAATAGCATAGATAAAAAACCTTTTAAAATTGCATGAGGTAGCCAGAAATATATTTCACATATTAAATAATGAATGGCCTGTTAAGATGTACTCTTGCTCTTTCACCAGTCTATATATAGATAAAAGCCCTCAGGTGAGGTTTTTTTTTTTATTGATCATCAGCAAGAGCAGCTTTACAAAACATTTGACATTCCATTTAGAGTGGAATTTATATAAGATTTTAAATGAGCAGGAGTATCCCAGAAGATTGAAAAGAACTAGCAATTATGATGGGACTAAAATACGAAGTGCCTCTAGGGATAAGAGAATGCTTTTGGTGTAAAATAAAAATTACGTGAAAAAAATTGATCAAAATGGGCGGGGGGAAATACTTTGTAGGAACCAGGATAAGATGTGACAAAGAGGGCAAAGGATATCCTGAGGGATGCTGGGGAATTTCCATTTAGTAGTCCACATAGTCATCAATGATTTCCTTAGGGAAGAAAAATGAATACAGTGTTGATGTGGTTGATCATTTTAGAGAGCCATGCAATGTAACTGAAGAAAATACTAAAATGATACTGGACACAGTGGACAGATGTTCCAGAGGTGTAGAGAAGATTGCAGTCCTGGGGGTATTCTAAAATATCTGGATTTCAGGATCTGTTCTACCTTGAACTTGAAATCTGGATACTACAGCAGAAGGCAGAGCTGCAGAATTGTGATCAACATGGTGGTCACATATGGGTAGAGTTTATACAGATGCATCATGCCCATGGTTTAGGAAAGTGATAATCTCTTCATTCAATACTAATGAGACTCTGCCTAAAGTAAAGCCTAGAATTCTGAGCCCTGACTAATAGAAAGTTGGGAGGAATTTAGAGCAATTAGGGATAGAGGAATTGACTTCTGAGAAAAGTTCAAAAAAATGTAATGTGTTTTGTTTGGCTGTGTGATGACTAAGGGGGAGCGCAGTTGGAACAGTTTACAAATATTGAACTAGTTTGCCAAACCAAGTGGTGGAAGTTCTTTTGCCTGACTGTTTGAGAGTAATTGGAGAAAAATGCAGGACAATATAGTGTAGAGAACAGTCTTTTATTAGCAGGAAGATGGACGTGACAAGTTACTTTGACCTTCACTTTTCATGGTTCTGACAAGTAGGTGTTAGTCACAGGATTATTTTTTTTATCTTGAGTCCAAGCTAACTGTATGATGATCTTTCATTTTAGTTAACTTGATGTTTCATCATCTTTCTTTAGGAGCTCTACTAAGCACCACAATAATGAAAATATTTATTATTTAGTTAAGTAGTGTTTATAGTTGTTTATAAACTGTGGGGGGGGCGTGCATGAAATTTTCATCATATCAGTAATAAATTGAAATATACACAAGCATTTAAAGGAATGTTTCATTTGTTGTAATTCTTGAATTTTTGGATTAAAGGCTTTTTACCATTATGTGACCAAAACATTTTTATTTCCTTTTATGTAAATTTACTTAAATCCCTTTGTGCCCTTGGAGGCACTCTAGTGTCATATTAAGTACGGACCAGTACTTGTTAAAATAGAAAACATTAGAACTGAAAAATATAGTCATGAACATTAATTCATTTTTGAAAGGTTAATTACTGAGACAGCTCTCTACATTCACATTTAATAGTGTTGGGATTTTTTTGAGCCTGGAGGTGCTAAAAGAGGGACAGGTAATACATAATACGCTGGGATTTAGGCTACTGCAAAGGTATTATCCTTTCTCAAATATTTGGTGTTTTACGCTGGTATATGGAAATGATCAGATACTGAGCATGGTACTGCACTCTTTGGAGCAGTGGTTCTTAACCTTTACTGCAGCCGCCACCCCTTTGGTTCTCAAAATATGTTCTCGCACCCCTTATCAAAAATCGTTGAAGTAGGTCAGTTCTTTAAACCTAGATGTATTTTTTGTTTGTATATTCCAGTAATTGTTAAAAAATGTATAATGTTAATAAATACGTAGGTTTGATGAAACAAAGTAGTTGTACTTACGTGCCTGTGCTTAATTTGTGTTTTCGATGATTTACCTTCTAAAAAAATCTGGCATGTCTCGCACCCCCAGAAAGGGCATCTCGCACCCCCAGGGGGTGTGTGCACCCCAGGTTAAGAACCACTGCTTTGGAGATTAGTAAATCAATATTTTTTTTAGGCATTATGGGCCCAATTATTTATTTAATAGGACATCTTGGATAGAGTATGATGGGTTAAGCCCTTTGATCCCTCAGTTCTGCAAGTCATAATATGCCGCAGGATGCCTGTGAATTGAACTCAGTGGAGTATTGTATGGGTGCAGGGGTCTGGCTGTGTGGTTTTGCTTTCAGCATCAGGCCTTGTGTTCATAAGAAGAGCATGTTCAATAATAGAAATTGTCTAGTGTATTTGACTACCATCTATGGCATTTGTAATTGGGCAGCAGTACACTGACTGTAAAAGATGGGTCTGGATGGAAGAAAGCCACTTCTTGCCTCACCCTTGTCCCTATATAGTCAAGACAAACAACTTAATCCCATCAGTAGTAATCACATTGATACCAGAGAAATTTCCCAGATTCCATTTTGTATTCCTGACCTCCTTTTGAATAAGCAAGAGTCACTCCACCATTGGAAACTGCAGGCTACATGACACTAGGGTGACCAGATAGCAAGTGTGAAAAATCGGGATAGGGGATAATAGGAGCTTATATAAGACAAAGCCCAGAATATCAGGACTGTCCCTATAAAATCGGGACATCTGGTCACCCTACATGATACTTCAAAAGTAGGGGAAAGGTCGGCTGAGGTAAACAACATAGAATTGGTGGAAAAACCAAAGTAGGGGAAAGGTCAGCAGATCATAACCCTGAGGTAAACAACAGCTGCATGCTAAAAATAGAACTGGCAGTGAGCATGGATGGAATGTTGGCAGTGAGCATGTGCAGTAAAGATCTTCCTGTAAGATATTATCAAAGGTGTCTAAAAAGTTCTGGCAGGATAGTCAGCGTGTCAGTGGGCTGATAGGAGGAGAGAGTAGGAGCTGACAGGCAAGAAGGATAGAGAAGAAGAGCAAAGCTTGCCTGAGCAGTCTGTTGACAGCAACAGCAGAGTATCCTGCCTGGTCCAGCAGCAGTGGGAGAAGAAGTAAAAACAACACAGCAGCAGAGGGAAGCAGACAGAGAGTTCAGGAGAAACACTCAGCAAGCGTGGAGTAAGTCTGTCAGACAATATTATAGGATAATCTAGTGTAGTGAGTAACTGTGTGTATGTGTGCGCTTGGGTTAATAAAGATGTGTGTTTGTGTTGTGCTATTTGTAAAGAGAATGTATATATGTAAGATTTAAAGAACATTTAAAACTGCTGTCAGCAACCTCTGAAAAACTGATCACCGTAAGCAGGGCGCATCACTTAGGATCATCTCAACTGTAAGGCAATATGGTTTGGGGTGTTCTTTAACTTGCTATAAGACATTTGTGTTTTAGATTATTATTGTATTAGGGATTATTATTTGCACCAATAAAAAGGTGCCTTGTTTTGAAAAGAACACTGTCTTTGTGTCAGTCATTTATCAGAAGCCTGTGTCTGTGTCCTCCAGGTATTTCCTTAGCCACCCTGGAGACCCATATGTCAGGAAAACAGATTGGTTAGTAGGTGAGCTATTCTAGGGGTACCCTAAATCTGTTTTTGGGGTAACATCATCTGGAATGCACTGCTCTTAATCATACAACAGTTGAGCAAACTCTGCTCTACTTTACAACCATAAACAAAAGAATGTATATTTTACCAATTCCTGATTGTACCAGTAGGACTGAGATGGCTATCAGTCCCTCTTCCTCATCAAAAAAATGTGTCTATATGTGTTAGGGTTTTGAAGGTGCTGTGATATGTAAACACCAGTATAATTGATGTGACAATTACAAGTATTTTTCAGCACAGACCTAGTGTTCCTATGTGTATAAATCTTCTAGGCCTAACAGTACACCACTCTCCAAATTTAAAAGGAGATAAGGCAATTGACGTGGTATTGCTACTGGGTCAATACATGGACATTTTAAAATGGAAGAAAACTTTCACCATAACCAGCAAACTTCTGAAAGCCCTTTTCAAATGTCCTTCATATCAGAACAACAGAAGTTATCATTTAGAGGTTTTTTCAGGAACAGGGCCTAGCTATGAAAGGCACAAATCATGAAAGATTGGAGGCTGGCAGCACTGCAAGGGTAGAGATTTTTTTTAAGATTGTTTAACAGACACAGATTTGCGGTCTATGCCTTCATTTAAGTCGGGTGTCAGAACTGTGTGTTTAACCTTAGCTGGTGACTGCGTGTTTGTTTCTTAAAATATTGTTTTCATTGAGCACATTGTTTAGAGTAGTACTTCTCAGCCTTAACTATTGGCTAACAAAGATTTTATTTGGGAGTAATTCCTGTAATCAATGAATTAATAATTTAATTGGTTACATTGTTTCAAAAAAGTAAGTACCAAACTTGCATCATAGCACTCAGGTATAGTTACATGAAACTAAAACAAATATTCCCTATGTTCTTTCAGTTTGTGAAGAAGTGTGATCAAAATTAATGGTTCAATGTACGTACACAATTTTCACATTTTATGTCTTTTTTTTCATTTTACTTTGTTTTAATTTTATTCAGTTCCCCTCCCCACAGCTTTACCCCCTAGCAGTAGGTTTTTAAGGGGGATCATTTTTTCTTAATGATTTGTCCCCAACAAGAAATGTTGTTCTGGAAATGCACACATACGTGATCTATAAGCATGGTCCCATATATAATTAGAATTCTTTAGTGCAAAGAATATGAGGAAAATCTATTGCTTTTTCTTTCTCACATAAGAATGACATTTCACCCCTGTGCACCATCAAATTCCATCAGATTTAGTCCTTTCAGGTTCAATGGTTTAGTTTGTCCCCTGGCTCCAGTGCTTCCAAAGGGATTGTGGTCACATAGAGTGACTGC